ACTACTTTGCACTGTAGTCCGTCGTATGAGTTCCGGATAATATTGACAATCTTCTCAGGAACTCCGTAGTGTCGAAGAAGTTTCCATAACTTCCTCCTATCTACACTGTCGAATGCCTTTTCATAATCAATGAAGTTGATGTATAGTGACGAGTTCCACTCAACCGATTGTTCGACGATGATCCGTAGTGTTGCAATTTGGTCTGAGCACGACCGATCCTTACGGAATCCAGCTTGTTGATCTCGAAGTTGGGCGTCTACTGCATCCTTCATCCGGTTCAGCAACACTCTGTTGAAGACTTTCCCTGGTATTGACAGTAGTGTTATGCCTCTGTAGTTTTCACATTTGCTCAGATCTCCTTTCTTTGGAATCTTGACTAGGTGTCCTTCCTTCCAGTCAACCGGCACTTGTTCCTCCTCCCAAATCTTTTTGAATAGAAGATAAAGCATGCTTGTGGTTGTTTCGATGTCTGATTTCAGTGCTTCAGCTGGTATGTTGTCGGGTCCTGCTGCTTTCCCGTTCTTGATTTGTCTGGCGGCCATTCTAATTTCTTCCGTAGTTGGTGGATTGACATCTATAGGAAGATCTATGTGTGCTGCTTCGATGTCCAGCGGACTCATTGGAGCCGGCCTATTCAGGAGTTCCTCGAAGTATTCTACCCATCTGTTACGCTGTTGTTGAATTTCGGTGATTGGCTTGCCTTCTTTGTCTTTGACCGGCCTCTCTGGTTTACTGTATTTCCCTGCTAGTTTCTTCGTTGTATCGTAGAGCTGTTTCATATTTCCTTCTCAAGCAGCTTTTTCTGCCGTCGTTGCTAGTTCTTCCACGTATTTCTTCTTGTCGGCTCTAATGCTCCTCTTCACTTGTTTGTTTGCTTCTATGTATTCAGCTTGTGCTTGGACTTTCTCTGCTCGTGTTCGGCTGTTGTTTATTGCTGCCTTCTTGTTCTTCCTTTCTTTGATCTTGTCCAGTGTTTCTGTAGAGATCCATTCCTTATGATAGTGCTTCTTTGAACCCAGAACCTCTTGACACGTTGAAGTTAATGCTTCTTTGATGCTTTTCCAGTTGTCCTCCATAGTAGTTTCTTCTTCTTTCAGTAGATCTTGTAAGGCTTGGAACCTGTTGTTGAGAGCTATCTTGAATTCATTGAGTTTGACAGTATCTCGAAGGAAGGCTGTATTGAACCTTTGTATTGCTGTTTGTCCACTTGTCCAGTTCTTTTTTAGCTTCAGTTTTAAATTGGCTACAACTAGGTGGTGATCTGAAGCTACGTCAGCACCTCTCCTGGTTCTCACATCTTCCATTGTCCTTCGGAATTTTTTGTTAATGCAAATATGATCTATTTGGTTCTCTGTAGTGTGGTCCGGTGAGATCCATGTAGCCTTGTGTATACGCTTGTGTGGAAATATTGTGCCTCCTATGACCAATTTGTTGAATGCACATAGATTTGCAAATCTTTCTTCATTTTCGTTTCTTTCTCCCAGTCCATGTCGTCCCATAATATCTTCATATCCGGTGTTGTCTATCCCGACTTTGTCATTTAGATCTCCCATCAGAATAGTGAGGTCGTTTTTTGGGCATTTCTCTATGATTGACTGCAGCCGCTCGTAGAATCGCTCTTTAATGTCGTCGTTGCTATCATTGGTGGGTGCATAACATTGGATAATATTCATTGTGATTACCTCCTTCTTTGTTTTGAATGATGCTTTGATGATTCTGGATCCGTGAGATTCCCATCCTACAAGTGCATTTCGTGCTACTTTGGACAGTATTGGAGCAACTCCCTGAGTGTTTGGAGCATTGTCCTCTTTGTGACCGGAGTATAGCAGCATCTATCCCGTAGCCAGCTTTTTCTGTCCAGCTTGGGTCCAGTGGGTTTCGCTGATTCCCAGTACTGCTAAGTTGTATCTCCTCATTTCCATTGATATTTGACTGGTCTTCCCGGTTTCCCACATTGTTCGAACGTTCCATGTACCTATAAAAATTTTTGCTCTGGTTGTTAGAAGGGGCATCGGCCTCGTGGCTTCCGAAGGAACTCGGCTTTCACCATGAAGCGTCATAATTCTTCTAAATGAAGACCTTCTAACTCCCAGGGCAGAGTTAAAATGGTTTGGATTATTTTTTCTGGTAAGCGTTTTTTTAGCGAGTTAGTTTTCTACGGGATAGGGACGCTAACCCCATGCCCAACCCTCCTCCTTTACCCGGGCTTGGGACCGGCAGCAACCCTATAAGAGCTACAGGCGGAGTTACGTTTTAGCATGCTAGATGGAATACCATCTGGTCCATCAGTGTAGGAGTGTCTCAATGTACCGATTGCCTTGGAGATATTTTGTACACTGAATTCTACATTAGTAATTTCACAGGGAGTTACTGTGATTGGTTCTGACTCATTAAATGGTTTTTCGTTAGTTAGTGAGAAACAAAAATTTTCACTAAATAATTCTGTGATAAGTTTGGGATCTTCGTATACTTGTTTGCCTTTAATGAGTATACTCCCTCTCGATTTAGAGCGTTTAAGTTTATTTTGGAGTAGTATTTTGAGTGCAGAGGAGTTATTATTAAGCTCAACTGCACGTTTTTCCTGTGCTACTGCTTTTTGTTTACTTATTGCCTCTGTTCGGACAAGTATTTCTGTCATCGTTACTAAAGAAGAAAAGTCATTTAAGTTGTGGAATCGAGTACAATGTCTTTGAAGACGTCTTCTTGTACTGACCGGTATATAATGCGAGTTCCTCCTTGCTAATTTTCTATCGGTTTACTGCTTTCGAGTACACTTTGTTGACTTACCATTAATTTCATCCCATAACCCAATGCTTTATCTTTAATGATCATATTCCCACGTTTCTTCATCTACTTCGGCAAACGCTTGTCCTGTGTTATGCCATTCTTAATGTTTACACTTTGCTTGAAAGCCCGAAATGTATACTATAGTCACTTAAAGCATTGTATCGATGCCCTACCCACAGTCCATAATTTATAACCGCCTGATAAGGTCCTAAAATGGCACTTATAGAAATAGTGTTTTCCATGAGGATGTGAAACATAGAGCGTCGTGCGGAATATAATATTTTATCTAAAAGTAACCTCTAAAAAGCATAACATCACGAAAGGACGGTGGTGGAGTTAGCGAACAGCAAGCACTGATGGTGAGAGCGACAACATTGACCTACCTAATTTTGTGAGGAAGGACATCCTGTTCAACTTAAACCTTCGTGATTGAGAACGAAGCAACCAGTAAGTGAAACTGAGGTTGTTCTACACTGGCTACTGAGATTCATGTTTCCATTTGTACTTTAGATTCACAATTCTACTAAGATATCCCACAACATGCTAACTCAGAATTGTAAATTATGGCCCAATAGGCTGACATGGAAAAATGAGAATAATAATAATGGTAAAATAACAGACAACAAAATATATAGCTATCAGCGTTGCTGAACACATTACTCTCTATTGATGTATTTTCGATTCCAATAAAGAGCATCCCTTATTCTAACTTCAACCTTCCCATTGTTTGAAACCATTCCACCTTGTTACACATCATGATTCATCGTTCTTAATTACTGGATTATCTTGGCTAAAGACTCCAACCACATTTTATTCCCGTGACGGCAATCATCATGAGTTTTACCTACCGACTTACTATGGTGAATTATCGCAAAATCAGACCCGTGTATTGAGGTCAGAATGCTTACAGCCTATGTTAGCCCTTTTATAGTGAGCTTTTGAGTACCTAACCTTCTCTTCAACCCGAGGATTAAAGGAGCGGACACTACTTCTTAGGGTAACAGGTCCCAAGAATTGATGACTCAGTGTAACAACCTGTATGCCACGAGTACTTCGTTCGTTCTTGGTTTTTGTACCTGCCTGGTATGTCCTCTGAGTTGTCCTGATCTGAAAATAGGAAAAAGAGAAGATGTACCAATTCCGAAGTCATTTATTAGTATTTTATACATTGAAATCAGATCACCTATTAATATGCGATAGGACAGAGCAAAGAGGTCTAGCTTCTGAAACCACTTTTTATATGATATACCCGGGAGTTCTGGAATGGCACTGGAATTGCTCTCTGTACTTCTTCCAAGATATCCGAGTCACCGTTTAAATAAAGACGCGCATCCTGAACACATTTTAAGTTTGAATCTCACCAAGGTTGTGAATACTATAATAGACATATTAGAATATAACTTGATAAATATCCGTCTTAAAACCCATAGGGTTCTGAAACCCTTAGCTGAGACTTCGCGGTAATGGGCCGTGGTTTAAAGATTATGGATCAGTGTTTGGAGAGAAAATAACAGGAGAAACAAATGCATGTGGACTTCAGGTGAACTTAAATTTTCTGGTTAGCTGGTCTAAAAGATGACTGATGCCTATCAGTGCGGCCGAATGTGTCCACATGCATTTTGGAAATGCAAGGATAAATAGACACAGCATAGGGGAAGTGCCTGTATCCGTGGTTTGGTCGCACAAGGATCTTAAGGTGACAAGAAATGGATTTATGCTGTTCAGAAACTGTATATATAAACACACTCAAATGATTTAACGTATGTCTAAGAAATCTCTTGGCCTGTTTAGTTATCCATGGTGGATAGTCATTAGGTCTACGTGATACTAAGTGTAGTATAGGCGGGCACTTAGCAGAGCTAAACGTACCTTTAAATGTAGACCATGACTTCAGTTGATGAGCTAGTATTTACTAACCAGTCCGTTGCACCACACTCCTGTGTGGTTATAACGTTCGCCCCCTACACATTTTTTCGAGGTTGAGGTATGTATTTTATTATCACAAAACTTTCTTAAAGCAAGTATACAATACTCAGTTTAGCAAAAGTAACATATATGGATGCACCAACCAAAGTACATTCTTGCATTCAATTTGACGGGCTAAAAGCGTCAATATGTCATACAGTAACATTCATTATCTGTATTAAAATTTTATCAACTATTGTTATATTGCTTTGTTATCATAAATCGTTTCTTTGCTATGGACTTTTTTCATTGGCTAGAAAGTAGTTTAAGGTCGTCCTTATACTTTACTTCCCCTCTCAATTCAAACTTTACTGAGCAAGGATAGTAAGGTGTTAGTTATATGGGGTCTCTGTTTTAAAAGATGTCGCTTTATCAAAAAGAATTTTAGCTCATTTTTCTCCCTTGATGAGTCTGGAATAATAAGACATTGGTTAATTAAAGTGGTATAGGGAAACACATAGTCTCCATCAGTACCATTACATCTAAAGTCAATGTTGTGTCTTCTTTTGGGCTAGCCAACTGAAGGTACCGTCAATGTATCTTCTAGGAGAGGATTCCATATCTTTTGCACTTGCAAATGAACATTGGGACCTCAGATTTATAGTCTCAAACTTGGATAACTGTAAGCATTAAGTGGCTATACAGTATCTGTTCACTAAACAATACATTTAATAAATAAACTAGCGTACTGTTGGTCTATACTATAATACACAGGTATTTGTTCCGTTTTAAAGCAAAGTTCTACGAAGTGTCTGCGGTGTTTCGTTTCTGCTCTTACTGCTTTTTGTGTGAATTGACCCTTCGTAAAATTTACCTAAATACATAATAAATATACTGTAATCGGTGTACCTTACTGCAACAGATTCTTTGAAATGAGTTGGATGTTCCACTGCACTTTAATAATAGTGGCATATTTGCGGTTTACAAGTGCCGATACTCCTGCTAACTGTACTTATGAAGATGCACATGGTCGATGGATGTTTCATATCGGTGATTATAAATCTAAATGTCCTGAGAACTGTAAGTCACGTTTTCATAGCTTTTCCAATTCCTTTTAGTGAATTCGAAACAGTCTGTCGTTATCAGTCTCTTATACCCGGATATTGCTATTGATGCATCTGGAAACCGAGGACATTGGACTCTAATCTATAATCAAGTATGCTCAGAAATGAACTTTGTGCATTTTGTTTAGGGGTTTGAAGTAACAATAAATCATCGCAAATGGCTAGTTATATTCGCTTACAAATCAACTGGAGAATTTAATTGCCATAAATCTATGCCAATGTGGACACATGATACTTTAATTCGACAGTGGAAGTGTTTTGTAGCCGAAAAGATTGAAGCGAATGACAAGTAGGCTGTTCCCAAATAATTTTCCTTATTTAACAGTTAAACGTTACTTTTCGTACTGGTGGTTTTCGTATTGACCATGGTCTGTTTACAAAAAATATCGTTTGCTTAATTTTAAGTAGAGAATTAATCTCTTGATGATTTCATAAATTTGACTTTAATCCCCCAACCTATTAAAGGACAAATGCCAGTGAACAATTTTCTGCCGCTACTGGACGAGCTTGACAAGATTGACAATAAACGCAAATAAATAAAGATAATCGAGACTTAACAAAAAAACAATTATCAATAACCATACGATAGCTTAATTATAATGGTTAGACGTATTTTTAATAAAGTCAAGAAATAAATGATCAGCAACATGACGTAGTTGGTTAGTTATAACCAATGTAGCCCCCAAATGCCCTGGGACAGCTGAGGGTGGGGACAGTCCGCTCTCCCTCTCGAAACGCTCTTACATGGCCACACCTATATAGCCACTGTTAGGAAAGTCCTACTCACTGGTTTCTCGTGGTGGCGTTTACGAAAATGAGAGGATGACAAGTGAGTGTCCGGCGTCTAAACCGGTTGGTGGGTATGGAGGATCCACCTGGGGGATTGGAAAACCCTGGCTCCAAATCTATGGTGCACATGGGCTTCAGAGTCCTAAGGAAACCAATGGCATATGAACCAATCGTTGACCACCGACTACCATGGGGCTTCATTTCCTTACGTTGCCCCATTGTCTTTTAGATCAGACCTCTAGGTCAAAGGCTTCGGGTGTGGCCCTCTAAGGGAACCGCCTGCTTCTGTTTGGGCACTCGGGCAGTATCCTGGCCCTCACATAAATCGAGGAATATTGTTTAACCTAGCAACCTCAGTCGTTGATAATAACAATCCGCGAAACAAGAGCTGTTTCGGGGGCTTTCTAAAAACTGATAAAAATTCGGAACATATCCTTACGATTTCTAAGTGGTGAGTGCCGAACAGTGACATTCAAGAATAGGTTTATATGGCTTTGTTTCTCAAATATGTTGGTCATGTTAATACTGTTGATAGGTAATCAAATTGGCTCTTACACACTAATGTATTGGTTCGATTCCCTTGTACATATTCACTTTATTCTGGAATCTAAAGAACCATTAACTAGAGATAAGAATTATGAAACTGTTTGTAATAAGACCACTTTTTCCTTACAAATGTCTTGTGAGAAAATTAGGAGTTATATGTGGTGGTAGAGTTGTTGCATCAAAGAGCTTTTTATTGTCTAGAAAGCTAAAAAGACAGCATTCTGTCGTTTTTATACCTTTTTTCACGTACACAACAACAAACCATGAAAACGTTTTTCATGGTAATTAGTATGTAAACTTTGAAGCAGATTTGTGAAAATACGGACTTGACTGACTGACTCTTGGTTTCAAATACTTTTATTTATCTATTGTTTTGATTATAATGTATATCCATACTATTTCAGGTTTCAGACTAATAAAGTATTTGCTTCGAAAAGTTTTGGTCGAAATCTCTACCACATTAACCCCTCTTTTGTCGACAAAATAAATAAACATCAAAAATCTTGGCGAGCGGAAATTTATCCAGAATTATCAAAGTATACAATAGATGAACTTAGAAATCGAGCTGGTGGTGTAAAGTCTATGGTTACTAGGTAAAACTTTATTTATTTTTTATACAGTAGACTTTGTATTTTGTTGTGAGAAACAACATGTAAACATTTTATACCATAAACTGATACGTTCGTTTACTAAGATGATATTTTATAACTCCATCGTCAATAGTGTAAACAAGACTACTATTCTATTTTTTTACTCCACTAACTAGAGTATGAAGTTCAGTTTCGTAACAAAGCTTTGTTGATAATTTTTCCAATGGGCTTAAAAGTACATTTAAGCTAATCAGTTACAACGATCAATATTTATAGATTGATTGTTACTAAACATGAGTTATTTTCAGATGCATTGAAAGTTCAGAAACTTATCATTATTGTTTAGAAACTAAAAATCCAGTGATAATGAATTTTCTTTCACTTACTAATGGGAACTTTTTGTTTTATTGAAAGTTGCTGAGAATTTTAATGTTTACTATTATTTTCCATAAAACTACTGATCGAAACTCCTGGATGGATTTATTAGAGGATAATACAGTTTTTCGACAGAGTAAGATTTTTGTCTGATAAAATAATATATATACAAATAATTAGATACAATAAGCAACTGAAGAATATAGAATGCTGGTTCGTTGCCCGCCACAATAAAATTCATTTAAGAATATCAAAGGACTGACTTCATTAATTTTATTGCTTTAAACTTACTTTTTTCGTTCTATATCGTTCACAAAATTTGGTTACCGATTTAGACTGATTTCTATAAAAATTGTAATCACGTCTTAGCTTTCTAATTTTAACCAAATTAAAATGATACATAGACAATATCTCAGTAAGTTAATTTTTTAATGTGATTAGAACAGGTGGAAGTCACCTCTCAAAGGTAACTATTTCGAATGTTTCAGTGACTGTTCTCTTGACGAATCAATATATATATATATATATATATATATATATATATATATATATATATATATATATATATATATATATATATATATATATATATATAGGCAAACAGATATCATCAACATGGGGCCCGGCTCAAGTTTCCGTTGGACAAATTCTCTATATTACATCAATAAGACCGAATGAAAATGGCAAGAAAGATCACAATTATGGGATAGCAATAATAGAGAGACTAAAATCTGGGAATGTTGTATTCTCCCGAATTCTAGTCTTCTGAGTTCTTCATGTCCTTTTTTTCCTCTTTCCAAATTTATTTCACTGTATTATACTCTTTGAATAACATCTTAAAACCCTAATGTTTCCGATTACTGCTTATACTTTTACTACCTCGACCACTATGGGATTTGAATCGACAACTGCATCTCTGTGCTAATGTGGTATGGTAACTCAAACTGATGTACTTACGTACGAAGTTATACGTTGTTACTGACTGGCTGTATCGAACCGCCAGTCGTGGTTATCACGCTTGCCCCAACCATTTAGTCTGAGTTTACCAACGTATCTAAGACCAACAGCCAATGACTTCATGAACTGATACCACGATTTGATTTTGTTGTTCTTCATTTCGTGGTCGTTTATTGTAATCCTTCAAAACCTAAAATTTGTTATTAATAATTCCACAGAACAGTGTAAGATTTGGCTGTCCACAAGGCGAGTGCAATTTCACGTTACTTAACAGAGGGGAGATCTAGAAAATTTCTCTTCAATACTTTGGGAGGAATCGAAAAATTATTTCACTTGTTTGACTGTACTACATGCTCTACAGGAAAGTGGACTAGGGCTTCGTGTTTGTCAGAACTCGTCAACAACGTACCATCTGCATATATATGTATTCACTAATTCTTTAACCTGTATGGAATCTAAGGAGCTCCATTATCGCTAAAAAAAACGTAAACTGGTTTATCCGATATCTTGAAAATCTCAATATTTTAAATTGGGAAGTACCCTTATCCCACCATCACATAAACTTTCTCCCTTTTTCAGACCTTCAGTGTTAAATAGGAAAACTCCATCAAAAGAACTAATTTCATTAACCAAAAATCTTCCTTTGGAATTTGACTGGACCAGTCCACCAGACGGTTCTAGAAGTCCTGTTACACCGATTCGTAACCAAGGTGTATGTGGAAGTTGTTATGCGTTCGCCTCTGCTGCTGCACTCGAAGCTCGTATTCGTTTGGTTAGTAATTTTTCAGAGCAACCTATCTTGTCTCCTCAAGCTGTGGTTGATTGTAGCCCCTACTCTGAAGGTATTTTAATTACCTGTTATTTGATGTACTTGTTCGTAATATGTTGAATTTTCTGGTTGTTTACTGTTCATACATATACTTATTAGTCTTTCTGAATGATGTGAAGAGTAGTGGTTCTTTGTATAAATTCTTCTAAATTAACGTATTAGCCCAAAGTATTGGTCGCTCACGCAACACTTCTAGGATGCCATGAAAACTATTCTGCCTTTTCTATACAGTCTATGACAATATACAGTTTAAACCTAATCCAAAAACCGGGTATTAGTACTTGATAGTTATCACAAGAAAAGTTCGTTTTCCTTTTCGCTTGATTACTGAAATCAAGTTGTTTTCTCAACTATCTTTTTTCAGAATCGAATATTTTGTTCACTATCACAGTCTGTTATCATAGTTTTTCAGATCATAAACCTGTAGACGATAGTGTTGTGAATAAAAGTGCCGATTGATCAATGATACACTTTGATACGATGTGTTGAAGTGAAAACTCTCCACAAGAACAAATTATTAACATAGGCTATGGAATTGGATGAGATCAGTGGCAAAACTACTGTCCAGCGGAATAGACATTTTTCTCCGGTGAAATGATATGCCTAAATACAAAATATTGGATACAAAACTAAATATGATTAAGCATTATGAGCGATTGGTGGCTACTCACTCGCCAATAAACTAAGATTTGACTGTTAGGCTTATATCATGCCCATCGTATTAATTAAACAGAGATACATAACATACAATCTCACTCAAAGTTGATTGGCGCTGTTTGTCACACTCCACGAGGACGCATAAAACGAAAATCAAGCGAAATCTAAGGATATTAGGAATAATCTGAGTATGAAATCAGATCAAATGCAGAACAGTCAAATATTCAGGATTTGAAGAAAGATAAAATATATGTGTGAGTTCTCGCTATTGTAATAACTGTGTGGTGTTACCCATAGTTTTCACTCACTGGTTTTGTTTAACTCATAGACCACACCAGTATCGAACCGAGCTAGCCTCTAGGCTAGCTACCACTCCACCGAAAAGTATAGATGAGCATTGGTTGCAATTGCATGACGCCATGAAAATGGTGGGAACAGTCAGTTGTGGGTTTGCGAAACGTCCCGCTTTTAAGCACTGGGTTTCTTCTGGTTCCTTACAACTCATTGAAGCCCGTCAGTCTACTCCGGGTGACCGTGAGTTTGACCATAAACGAAGGATGTTACGTGAGGAAATTGGGCAAAGCTTGCGTAAGGACCGAGAAGCCTGGTGGTCGATGCGTGCTAATGAGCTGGAAGCAGCAGCTGCATCTGGTAACTGCCGGAAGCTCTTCCAGCTCATCCGAGCCACTGGCAGCAAGAAGTCTGGTGTGAGTGAAACAATCTGCGAGGATGATGGGATGCCAATCACTAACATCCATCGACGTCTTGGACGATGGGCAGAATTTTTCGAAGGGCAGTTCAACTGGCCTGCTGCTCCGGCAACATCGGTCAGACTGTCCTGCCCTCCATGGCCGGTGACGACTGATCCACCAAACGAGGAGGAAGTCCGCAAGGAACTCCAACTCTTGAAGCGTTACAAATCACCTGGCCCAGATGACTTACCTCCGGCTCTTTTTAAAGATGGTGGTGACTTTTTGACTAAGGAATTGACGACGTTGTTTACAAAGGTTTGGGAACTAGAGAGCGTACCAACGTCATGGAATGAGTCGATAGTTGTCCCTATGTTTAAAAAGGGTTCACGTCGTTCTTGTAACAACTATCGGGGGATAAGTTTACTTCCGATTGCGTCCAAGCTATTGGCTTCCGTCATTCTTCGTAGGTTGTTCAAAACCCGAGAAAGATTGACTCGCGAGGAGCAGGCTGGGTTTCGTTCTGGTCGAGGATGTATTGATCATATCTTCACCCTCCGCCAAATGTTAGAACACCGCCATACTTTTCAAAGGCCAACAATCGTAGTGTTTCTTGACATCAGGGCTGCCTTCGATTCGTTGGGTAGGACTGTTCTCTGGGATTGTCTATTGAAGAAGGGTGTGCCTGAGAAGTTTATTAACATCCTAAAAGCCCTGTATAAAAACACCTCAAGTAGAGTGAGGGCATACAACCACCTCTCTCCATTGTTCCATTCGAGCAGTGGGGTTAGGCAGGGTTGCCCAATCTCACCATTCCTCTTCAACTTTGCCATCGATGACATTCTGGAAACAGCTCTGATGAATGTAAGTAATGGTGGTGTGGATCTGTTGCCTGGAGAAAGACTTCTCGACCTTGAGTATGCGGACGATATTGTCTTACTGTGCGATAATGCCCAAGGCATGCAATCCGCTCTTAATCAGTTGGCAATCAGTGTCCGTAGGTATGGTATGTGCTTTGCACCTTCGAAGTGCAAAGTACTTCTACAAGACTGGCAGGATTCTAATCCTGTACTCACCCTGGATGGTGAGCAGATAGAAGTAGTCGAGAAGTTCGTGTATCTGGGTAGCTGCATAAGTGCTGGTGGGGGTGTGAGTGATGAGATCAATGCACGAATAGTGAAAGCCAGAGCGGCTTATGCCAATCTGGGCCACCTTTGGCGCCTTCGTGATGTTAGTCTGGCTGTAAAAGGCCGGATCTACAACGCGTCGGTGAGAGCAGTTTTGCTCTATGCTTGTGAAACCTGGCCTCTCCGAGTTGAGGACGTTAGACGACTCTCTGTGTTCGATCATCGCTGTCTCCGAAGGATTGCTGACATTCAGTGGCAACACCATGTCAGTAATGCAGAGGTTCGGCATCGTGTGTTCGGGCACAGAGATGATAACTCAATTGGTGTCACCATCTTGAAACACCGACTTCGGTGGCTTGGACATGTTCTCCGAATGTCGTCCCAGAGAATTCCTCGTCGTGCATTATTTGCCGACTCTGGGACTGGTTGGAAGAAGCGGAGAGGTGGTCAGTGCATGACATGGTGTCGTGGCATGAAAGAAAGCTGCAAAGGACTGGCTTGTGTTGGTCCTTCACGACTCCCTGGCTGGGGTCCGAGAGATGGTGCTACACAGTGGCTAGAGACGTTATCAGATATGGCTCAGAATAGAAGCCAGTGGCGATCCTGCTGTAACCTTCTTTTACTTTCTTCATAAAAAGTGGTTGTGTCTCCTTTACCTGAAAGATTTCTTCTGATTGTACCTTTTCGTTCCGTCGTTACTACCACACTACCTTACTCCAATCTCTTCGTCATTGTTCTCTTTTTCTTTTGCGTTCCTTAGTTTTTTTTTCTTTCTACTTCTCTTCGAATTCTCATTGTTTTGTGTGGCGCATATATATTGGCGCTCTCTTGTACCAATATTTATGTGTTCAAATAAATAAAATAAAAAAATAAATAAATAAATAAATATCGTCCGTCCAGATAGGCAGTGTTTGGGGATAATTAATACATATCTCGATCACCTCATTTGATGAAATCACTACCTCATTAATCGAATTACCACATTTATCCTACATCTCGGGCGATGCTTTAAATATACCTATGATCAAATACAAGTAACCTACAAGTATCCTTTGTAATTAATGGTCATGTTTTACACCTCTAAAGTAGAACAAAGGGAATTGTTTAGCAGTAAACTCGTACTTTGGTGGAGAGACAAACATCTCACGTATATCACAAGTAATGCAGCCCTCTAAAGGTATCCGAGCTTTCCAAATCGATCCTGTAGCATAATTCTACTGTAGCTGGTGTTTCACATCAGAAGAATATTCGTCCAATTCACGTTTATCATTCATTATGAAGCAGATATGCATCTAACTAGTCTAAAATCGAACTCAAAGCGACTGTCAATTACTATCAAAATCAGAATCTTCAGTACGAACGTCAAGACAGTCAGTTCGGCTGTACGGAATCGAAACTTGGAGAACTACTACAACCATCATCAAACATGTACAAGTATTTATAAATAGTTGTCTACGCAAGATACTCAACACCCATTGGCCCGATACCATCAGCAACAGCCTTCTGTGGGAAAAAACAAACCAGCTTCTAGTTGAAGAAGAAATTAGGAAAAGACGATGGAAATGGATAGGACATACATTACGCAAATCGTCAAACTGCATCACGAGGCAAGCCCTAACTTGGAATCCTGAAGGGAAGCGAAAAAGAGGAAGGCCAAAGAACACATCACGTCGTGAAATAGAATCAGATATAAAAAGGATGAATAACAACTGGAAGGAGCTGGAAAATATTGTCCAGGACAGGGTTGGATGGAGAATGCTGGTGGTTGGCCTATGCTCCTCCACAAAGAGTAATAGGCGTAAGTAAGTCTAAAATCGAACTGATGTTTAACTCATATTGTTATGACTGGTGGTCGACTGTTATGACTGCGTCGCCAGTTATATCTGATCGTCGCTAATAGTCATGTCGGAATCACTTATCACTTATATTTGTAAAACGAGGAACCACTTCAATTCCCACGACACGAAAGTAAGAACACAAAGACTGGCACAAGTGGGAGATTTATTAAACCCAAAACATGATGACAACGCTAGTCGAAAATTCATATTCATTTACATTTTTATTAATAATTAGGATGAAGTCACATAAATGACAAATTCTTATAGTTATAACGAATCACTTGCTGCATTTCATACTGATCATAGACCATATTAATTTAGTACAAAAATCAATATGAGTTAAATAATGTAATTTTTCTTTTTAATCCCAACATATCATATATATATTTAATCAATCTTTCAAACACATTATTCTAGTGATAAATGCTTGTTTATATTTATGGTTTCATTCATTGATTTTTATTAATATTTAGGATGTAATGGAGGTTTTCCTTTCTTAATTGCTGGAAAATATGGAGAAGATTTTGGTTTTGTCTCAGAACGTTGTGATCCATATACTGGTAAAGATACTAAAAAGTGTAATGTATCAAAAAGCTGCACACGTTACTATACAACAGATTATAGTTATATCGGTGGTTATTATGGCGCTACTAATGAGAAATTGATGCAGTTAGAACTTGTTTCTAATGGTCCATTCCCTATCGGTTTTGAAGTATATGATGATTTTCAATTTTATAAAGAAGGCATCTACCACCATACAACAGTTCAAGTTAGTGCTGTTTTATTTTGTACTTTTGTTAGAAACTTTTCTAAATAATCTCTCACTTTATTACTGATTTAATGTAAATAAAAAAACATTTGTATTATTTCATTTATTTTTACGATTGTTTGGTATTATTTTACATGTATTACTGATCGACTTTTTGACATTTTAAAGATTTAAATTATCCGATTGTTAATGTTTAGGATTAAATTTTAGTTCGTCCTAGTTGCCATACATTCATTCTGATGTGGCTGCTACGATGTAGCTATTTGATTATAAGTTTTTTTTCAAGTTGGTGGATTCTCTCTAGCAGTGCGATCCAAAGTGCTCGTTTCGTCTTCCTGAAAAGGATATTGACTACCTGAGTTCAGCTGCTCAGTGGATGATAACCCCTTGGTTTTTGGAGTGAAAGATACTAGGTTCAAGTTTCGATGTATTCACAAACAAATGAACCCAAACACATTCAAATGGGAAGTCCCAAATAAAACGTAACCCACGTACTGAATTTCACTATTAGCTGAAACCTGTCTATCCCAAGAATTTTCTTATCGTATTATCAGTCATCTTTAGCTAATCTTAAGTACAGTTTCATGTTATTTTTCAAGTCGAAAGTCAAGGAAGTAGTTTATTTCCACATCTTTTTGTTCTGTTATGCCTAGTTTTATAAATCACTTCTACAGTTCATCTAACATTCGAAGTTCACATTATACAGTTGATAAAGTATTTGGAACAATAATATAATTTTCTCAATTACTCCTGTTATTCCTTGTGGAGGAGCATAGACCGCTCACTAAGATTCTACAACCAATTCTGTCATGGGCTCTCCTTTCCAGTTGTTTCCGATTGCTATTCGTTATTTTAATGTCTGTCTCCAATTTGTAAAGATTAAATTATTGATAAAATCTCTTCTGGATATCAACTTTTTTTTAATATCTTGACCTTAGTAAGTTGGAGTGTAGTTTTAGTGTCTGGAACAATTTTTTACAACTACATTCAAGACTATTAGTTAGGTCACAAATCGAAGTTTCCTTTAGTTCTCATCGTTGCTTAACACCGTTAATTGTGTAGTTTACAGATTAAATCACAAATTTGGAATACTAGTTATTGCTTTGAATTTATTGATATTATTTCTCTAAATATTTAAGTAAATGATTTATGGTGACGATGACTCGATGAACTTTAATTCACTTACTTCAATTTTATTATGTAAGTGGTATTACTAGACCTCATACAGATGAGGAGATTCTGTTCAAAGCCAAGCACACAGACTTGTTCATTTGACTGTTAAATCTAGAAGAAAATGATTCCTCTTACTTTGTGATCGTAGTTGTTATCTTGACGTTGTGATTGGGTCTGGCTATCGTAATGATCCGATCAAACTATATTGTCTGAAACAATTAGTCCTTTAAGTTGTACCATACCAGACAGGTCGCTTGGAGAACAGCAAGACGAAAAGCAGCAAACTCATGGTCCAAGGACGAACTCGTACTCCTGGCTGTACTAGGGGGCAAGGTGTATCCTTCAGGCAATTGAGATCAGAAGCGATACTACCTTCTCATAACGGAAGGAAAGGACTAGAAAAGGTTAGCCCTAGAAATTTTACATATCACTTTACCCCATAGATTTTCATCTTTGAAGATAGGGTTGCTTTAAAGCTCGGAGCTAAGAAAAAATAATAAAAAAAACTGACTTATAGAAAGGCCATGTGTGACCAGCCTCAAGCAGCTATCCCTCGGGCTCTGGGGTCACACTCTCAGGTTGCTGCAACTACTACTAATCTAGTTTCCTCAAGAAGTATCCTACGGTGAGGGAACATGAGAGGTGATAACCCCTTGTTCACCATCAAATCCTTGACTGATGGTACATTTTATTTTTTTTACTTCTAGAACGACCAGTACAATTTCAATCCATTCGAATTGACTAATCATGCTGTTTTATTGGTTGGTTATGGTGTGGATAAGTTATCCGGTGAACCATATTGGAAAGTAAAAAATAGTTGGGGTGCTGAATGGGGTGAACAAGGTTACTTTCGAATACGTCGTGGTACAGATGAATGTGGTGTAGAAAGTTTAGGCGTACGTTTTGATCCGGTGTTATAAAATCCTTTCTACACTGAGATGGATGTTTGTTTCAACATAGTTTTATTTAATTTTTATATGATTAAAGCGTTCAAAAATGGAACAGTTGATATCTGTCTCTTATCATATGAACTATTTTGATTACGTATTTTTCTTTATGATCATTTGTTTATAATTACTAGACTTCTACTCATCCATTAGAAATACATACATACATGACAGATCATTAAATAAACTTGATTACTGCTGAAATTTTTGATATTGTAATACACAAATTTATTATTTATTACCATATCTTTCTTTTGATGTGTGCCTGATCTTACGTTTCAGCTAACTGATTGATATAAGTTCTAAATGCAAAAATAGCATGACTACCCATTGTTGGATGATTTTTTTGACGTGGAAATCAGCTTTGATGAACGTTTCATGAAAGAAAGTTCTCAAAACTAGTACATAAATATAAAACACTTCATACAGATATCAATTATTTTTCATTAAAACCCATGAGTTCATGGTAGAAAGTTATAATTTCATAAGCTAACATCAAATATTTACTAAAATAACTACTTACGTCTGTTACCCCTCATGGAGGAGCATAGGCTGCTGCACACCAACATTTTCCATCGAACTCTGTCCTGGACTATACTTTCCAGTTGCTATGCATCCCTTTCAAATCTGCTCCAATTCTCCAAACAGTGTATTCTCTGGTCTTCCTCTTTTCCGTTTCCGACAGGCAGAATTACGTGGAAGAGCTAGCAACGACAGTAGAAAAAAATTCAAGAGAAGGGAATATGAGACAACTGTATGACACAACGAAGAAGCTAGCAGGAAAGTATAGTAAACCAGAGAGATCATTCCAGGACAAAGAAGGCAAGACAGTCACTGAGATTTAGGAACTGACCAGCTCTACTGAATCCATCAGACATCGAAGTAGCACCTACAAACCTTCCTATGGATGTCACTGCACCAACGATCGAAGAAATCAGGATGGCAGGCCATCAGACAAATCAAGAGTGGGAAAGCATTACACTACAATCGGTACCGGGAAAAGTTTCTAGCAGTGTTGCTGAGTAGGTCTAAAAATTCAATGGACGTTCAGCTTTGGGACCAACAGACCGAATTCCGTAAGGATCGGTTGTGCACAGATAAAATCACGATATTACGGATCATCGTTGAACAATCAATTGAATGGAACTCATCACTACAAGAAGAATCTGACGAAGATGATCAGAACTATGTGATATATTTGCGCAATACATTTCGAACAATCTGATCACACATACTTGTTAAGAGCATTTATACATAAAAATAAAAGGTCAACTAGACTGGAAATGGGGTAAGAGGAGATAAGATAATAATAATAATGTGAACGCAATTCGAAACCTAATCACTCTGGATAATAAATCAATCAAGACTATAGATACAACAACTAGCACGAAACTAGTTAACATCAGTCATCCAACTGACCTGTCTTAAAAAATGGCCATGGATCCATGGTCATCCAAGGATGACTACTTATATTGCAAAGTAAGAACAATTCATATACAGTTTTAAATATACTTCACATTCATATCTACAGAGCATATCTTGTTTAGTTTTGACATTTATTAACCTTTAAATAGGTCAGATTTACTTTATCCAAAAGCGTTGAACAGAAACGACCTAAGACTTTGCACAAATGTGATTTGGTAAATTTTGACATAACAAATGAACACTTTGAAATTAGAGAAGCCAAATGAATAAGTCAAAGTAATTCTTATCTTCATGATAATCAGAAGGATTAAGTGCAGTCAATACTAGTTGGAAAAAAGGAATGAATCGATGCAATAAAATGTACAAAGAGGAGTTTAACTGAAATTAGTGCGACCTAATTATTAGCCAAATCACCTGGGTTTTTCAATCAGAAATTATTATTATTATCGCCCGGATCCCATACGAGAAGTCTGCAGCTAACAACATGGACCAAGTTCGGTAGCCAATGAAGTCATATACTAACACTATGTGTTGGTTCCGATACCTCAAGCTGTTTTCCATCCCACTCGTAATCCAGCTAGCATTATGCATCGTGATATGTTGTGATTAGTTAACTCATACCTCAGTGATGAAAAGATAGGTCCTCACCAACAAATTTTCAAACTTGATTTGCAGTACACTATATCATTACAGCATTACTTACTAAGATATTTTACCTCACATAAGTAATTCTTCGAAACTATCTATAATCAACTAATGATGACCAACCTGCTACCCTGTATACTCGTCCTCTGGTAGACAAAGAAACTGTTAGTTTTTCTTATTCTATAGTTACTAATAGTGTGATTCCAAGAAAGACATTTCATTTAGATCACGAGTGATTAGTTAATTGTAACAGAAAACAACAACGTTCTGAGGATTATTTTCCCTTCAGAAAATTGTTCTATTCCTTGCCAAAATAACCTCTGTTTACTCGAAATTAATAATCTAGAAAATAAGGTGAATTACACTTATTATCAAGTAAGTTGACCTTCAACTTATCTTCCGAAATTAAAGTAGAGCGAATTAACTAATTCACTTGGTTTATTTATTTACGAAGTTCTACGTTGTTACTGACTGACTGAGTTGGTTTATTGCATTATTTATTTGAAAACATAAATATTTGTACAAAGGGGCACCAGTTACATATGCCCCACACAATAATAATGAGAATGTGAAGAGATAGAGAATCTAAGGTGTATATAGGAAAAAGGGGAACAATAACGAACAGAAATTAGTGTATGATAGTGCAATAACAATAATGAGAGGGCTAGTTCAAATAGCAAGATCCTCAAACACAATACGGAGAACAGCAATCCAATCAGTCAGTCAGTCAGTAACAACGTAGAACTTCGTACGTACGTACATCAGTTCGAGTTGCCACACCACATTAGCACAGAGATGCAGTGGTCGATTCAAATCCCGTAGTGGTCGAGGTAATAAGAGTATAAGCAGTAATCGGGAAGATTAGGGTTTGGAGATGTTATTTAAAGAGTATAATCCGGTGAAATAAATTTGGAAAGAAGAAAATAGGGACACGAAGAATTCAGAATATTAGAATTTGGGAGAACACAAAGAGTGGATGCACCTACGCCATTGCAAACGATTTTGAGCCATGTCATTCAGGGTCTCTAACCATCGGTTGCTATCATCTCGCGGTCCCCAACCAGGTAGTCTACACCTACCAACATGACTCAGTCCACTTGTCAGTGACTTCATGGACTTGTGCCATGTTTTGGTTTGGCCGCCCCTAGCTTTCTTCCAACCTACTCCCATACCACTGAACATAGCACGTCGAGGTAGTCGGTCGTTGGGCATACGTAACACATGTCCCAGCCATCTCAACTGATGAAGTTCCATTACTTCATCAATCGATTTGCTATCCTTACCTAGTACCCGTTTCCTAACAACTGTGTTACTTACTCGATGGTCCCATGATATACGAGCAATGTTTCGAAGACACCTATGATCGAATACTAGTAACCTACGGATATCCTCTACTCTTACCGGCCATGTTTCACTGCCATAAAGAAGGACGGAACGAACTGCTGCACAGTAAACACGTCCTTTGGTTGATAGACGGATATCTCGCCTACGCCATAAATGACACAAGTTGGCAAAAGCTAGTCGAGCCTTCTGTATCCGTGCTGAGATTTCGTCACACACTAAACCACAAGGGTTGATGAGACTTCGAAGATAAGTGAAGCGGTCGACACACTCAACTACTTCACTCCCTATCACTAGTTCGGGTGTCGATGTAACCCAATCCTGAAGCAGCATTTTGCATTTCGAGGGGGAGAATCGCATCCCGAACATGCTTGCATTGTTGCTTAGAGTGGTCAGAAGACTCTGCATTTTGTCAGCGTCTTCACCAAATAAAACTATGTCATCTGCATATTCTAAGTCAACAAGTGAACCTCCTGGTAGGAGTTCAACCCCTGTATATTTAGATGAGGAGAGTGTTATCTCTAAAAGTACGTCGACCACAAAGTTGAACAAGAATGGGGAGAGTGATAGTGAAACTCTGGAAGATGTAGAATCCTTCACATACCTGAGAAGCATCATCGATGAACAAGAAGGTTCAGACACAGACGTAAAGGTGAGGATTGGCAAAGCAATTACCCCATTCCTACAACTGAAAAACATATGAAACTCAAAACAACTTTCAACCAATATCAAAGTGCGAATCTTCAGTACGAACGTCAAGGCAGTTCTACTGTACGGAGCCGAAACTTGGAGAACTACTACAACCATCATCAAGAAGGTACAAGTATTTATAAATAGTTGTCTACGCAAGATACTCAACATCGATTGGCCCGATACCATCAGCAACAGCCTTCTGTGGGAGAGAACAAACCAGCTTCTAGTTGAAGAGGAAATTAGTAAAAGACGATGGAAATGGATAGGACATATATTACGCAAATCATCAAACTGCATCACGAGGCAAGCTCTAACTTGGAATCCTGAATGGAAGCGAAGAAGATGAAGGCGAAAGAACACATTACGTCGTGAAATAGAAACAGATATGAAAAGGATGAATAGGAACTGGAAAGAGCCGGAAAGCATTGTCCAGGACAGGGCTGGATGGAGAATGCTGGTGGATGGCCTATGCTCCTCCACAAGGAGTAACAGGCATAAGTAAGTAAGTTAAAATAGCAAAAGTACAGCCACAGAGAATTCTTCCACCTAAGGAGGTTACGTCTTTTTTTATGAAGTAAAATCAAGTTACAACAGCATGGCCATTGGCTTCTATTCTAAGCCATATCTGATAACGTCTCTAACCACTGTGTTGCACTATCTCTAGGACCTCAACCAGGGAGTCGTGAAGGACCGACAGATTAACTACATAAACAAAGAAAACTATAGTTCTATTACTATAAACTTTTATGTATATAAAGTTTAAGCAGTATTTCTCCAAATCTTTTTATTTCAATGATCAAAGTCTATCAGTTGAATCTTGATATATGACCACCAATAAACTTTGTTACAATTTATTAGATTTAATCATCTTTATGGCTTTTATCCAAAAAAAACTCACTAAAAACATAATCTGTCAAAAAATTTCACATTAAATACTGTTAGTAGTTCAAAACACTTTGATATGAGAGTATAGATTAGTGCATTAGAAAATTTCAGTTAATTATATTGTAAACACTTATACAATGCGAATTTATCAATGGTCACTTAAGTAATATAATTAATATCAGAATGGGTTTTTGTGGGAATCATAGTAATTTCAATAGTTGAGATCATAAGCCAATTGAAGCTAGATCAGTAGGGAAAACCTGGATGACCATTTTTTCCGTTTTATGGGACTCCTCAGCAGTGCGCATCCACGACCTCGCCTCTCGAAATTCGAACCAAAAGACCTATCAGTCTCGAGTGAAAGCGCTTAACCGCTAGACCCATGATCTCAACTATTAAAATTAATATAATACCCGCATTAAATAATATGACAAACTGGT